ATGGCCTGAACGACAACAAAAGGCAAAAATGCCTTGGCATGGAACGTGTTAAATAAGAGGTATCGAATATATTTTTAATTAACAGTGTAGCACTATGTAAATAATTTCTGATTGCCAAACGTTGAAAGAAAGTAATTTTATACATAAAAAAGCAACAGAAGCATATTCAATATTTATTATTAGGAAATATTATTACTTTGGTCAAAAATACAACTTACAATTTTGAAGATGTTTCTCTATTTCTTCCTTGGTCCAGTTACATGAAGTTAAAACTAAGTAGCCAGAAGGCAACAGAATTCTGTGAACATTTTCTATATACTTTTGCCGTTTCGACGCAGGATTTTCTGGATTCAAGCTGATGGCGTCGTAAGTTCCTTTGTCATGCGCTAATTTGAAGTCAGTGGGCAAATCGAAATGATCGGGATCGAGTATGTCGCAAACTTTCAGCTCGACGTGTGGCATATTATTCTCTGTTAGTATTTCACGAGCTAAATCAACTGCTTTTTCTGAATAATCTATACCCAGCAACAGTTCAAAACCTTGTTTCACAAGTTCAACCAATGTCATCCCGTTCCCGCATCCTATATCGATTATTTTATCATTTTTGTTAAGTTTCAGCTGCGTGTGAATCCAACTGAAAAATTAGACAGAATATAACAATATCCAACAATACTTTTGCGTTAAATAATCGTCAATTTTAAATGAACAATTCAAAGATATTACCACCGAATGGTAAAACAGATTTTAATAGCCAAAGTTTACGAAAGGTAGCACCACTAGTCTCAGAATTGAAATACCATACTGTTTACGGCAGAGCTGTTGTGTTGTACATACATACGTGCATAAGTACTTTTCACGTTACATGAACTTCTCGCGTCTTTTTTAAATAAGTTAAACTTACCGTACAACTTTCAGTGTATTGCTTTTACCAAACCATATTTCACCCACGTCTCCGTATTCCTTAAAGTTATTAAGATCATCCGAATAAGTCCTTTCCCAACTGTAACATAATCGTGACATAAAGTAATGCTTATCGAGTGTTTCACATTTACGAATACGGTACGTACTTAATACTTACTAATCAAGTGTACCTAAATCCGATGGTGCGAGTTCTTCGATATTTTCATCTGTCATGATTTTACTTCGCTTCGTATGAATATTACGATTGAATCGTTGTTTTAAATGTTAAATATATCAATACCGATTATATAACATATATTTCCATAAAATAAATAATTTATAAGAAAAATGTGTTTCCAAAATTTCACTTGTCGTGAAACGTGTAATTACGTTATGCGGAACTTTGTTTAGCTGACATAACCTCACTTCTAAATAAAATAACCTAACCTACATTTAATGATACACTGCGTAAAATGTACACATATACTGCATAAGCGTGATTGTGCAGGAATCGCAATCTGCGACTGCTTGATAGAAACGTTATTTTTTCAACAGTGTCAGTTTGTTAAAAATGGCTAGTAAATTATTAAACATACTTCAGATTGGTAAGTAAAATATATTTATTGTACATTTAATACTTTTATATATACGTATTTACATACACACACACACACATTTTAGATTTATTGTATAGTTTATACATATGCAGTATCAGATAGTATACAAATTACATGTTGTAACAAAATAAAAATATGAAAATTTCATTTGTGCTTTTGGTACCGTTGATCTTTAACTGTTAATTTTTGCTTTCATATTTGCTCTTCTCAAATTGCTATTCAGGAAAACAGCGTGTGAAATCTTCCATTTTGCCTTGGCGTCAGTTTTCTACGACAAATTTGAAACAAAGTAATGTTAAACCAAAAACTGGTATTTTAATGTTAAACATGGGTGGTCCTAGTGCACTTGAAGAGGTGCATGAGTATCTATTACGCATAATGACTGATCGTGATATGATTCAACTGCCATTCCAAAGGTTTAGTTTAATGAATTGTAATAATTTGTAGCAATGTAATCAATGTTAAATTAAGATTCCACATAATGCACATTACAGTCGATTAGGTCCCTGGATAGCAAAATCTCGTACTCCTAAAGTACAAAAAAAATATTCAGAGATTGGTGGGAAATCTCCTATTTTAGAATGGACAAACAAGCAGGGCAAACTTCTATGCGAGAAGTTGGATAGTATTTCACCAGAAACTGCACCTCATAAACATTATGTTGCATTTCGTTATGCTAATCCCCTTACTGAAAATACACTACAAAAGATAGAAGAGTAAGAACATTGATTTGTTATTGAATGAAAATAGATGTTAAATATAATTAATAAATTTTAACAAATAATCTTCTTTTAAACACTACACGCACATTTTTATTTTAGAGATGGCATTGAGCATATGGTTCTCTTTTCTCAGTATCCACAATATTGTTGTGCTACAAGTGGGTCAAGTTTTATTGAAATATATAAATATTATACGACCAGGTAGTAGTATTTATGAATCTTTTTTTTACATATTCAATGAATGAATTAACATTTATTTGTGGATTATACTAACAATAAGTAAACTTTAATTATATTTAATTATATTTATAAGGAGTTTAGAACAGAACTATTTACAAATGACTCATGTAACTTTGTCATTAGCATTTTATTAAATTGAGTAGTTCATTTTCATTTTTTATGAGTGCCATATACGTGTACATTGTATATTTTCATGTTTCACTGTATTGTTTGAAGTCATGTGAAGATTTTTAAAAATATTTTCTTCAGCTGGTATAAAAGTATATAATTAAATTCCTTGATGTTTTCCGACAAATGGCCGATTATGTTTTTAATAATCAAAACTTTTGTTGAAAGTTGAGAAAACTTGGCATGTTACAATAAATTCCTTCCAAATGTATAAAAATCCTGGTAGGCGATATTTAAGAGTAAAGAAGAGTGATTTCTTTGTTCGTTAATTAAACTTACAATTAGGCAACATTGCATAATTATGATAGTAACTGTTATTCATCTTTTGTAATATATAAATGATTATAATACACACTTACATTATAGACATAGATAAATATCTTAATTACTGAAGAAATAAGAACAAGAAAAAATCGTTGTATTGGATATAGCATTCAGAAATTTGTAATTTGCAGAAAATTACCTTCTAACATGAAATGCAGCGTAATTGATAGATGGGCAACGCATCCATTGTTCATAGAAACAGTTACAGAAAGAATCAAAGATGAATTAGCTCAGTTCCCTAAGGATATAAGGGGCGATGTCATAATTTTATTTTCGGCTCATTCGATACCATTGAAGGTTTCTTTTAAAAACAAATTGATGCTTTAATATAACGTGTTATTATGCAGTCGTTTTTAACGTTGCGTTTTCCATTGTATTTTAGGCTGTATCTAGGGGTGATGCTTATGCGTCCGAGGTAGCAGGCACAGTTGCCCTAGTAATGGAAAAGTTACAATATTGTAATCCGTATAAATTGGTATGGCAGTCAAAGGTATAGGCAATGCTTTCGTTTTAATTATCAATTTCTTAACATTTGATACTCACTTTTTATATCACAAGTTTATGTATACTTGGTTTTCTTGATACAACAAATGAGGCAAAGATCATTTTTGAAATAAAATTAATTCCTTTCATCTCGTTTTATGTTTTTTCCCTTTTTATTCGTTCGACTTATTTTTCGACACTGATTCGTATTTAGGTTGGTCCTGTAAGTTGGCTGGAGCCTTTTACCGACGACGCTATAAAAGCTTATGTAAAGCAAGGGAAAAAGCATTTTATATTAGTACCAATAGCATTTGTTAACGAGCACATTGAAACTCTTCATGAATTGGATATTGAATATTGCAAAGAATTAGCGGAAGAAGTAAGTGTTTTTGTCTTGTACTAATGGCTTTTTACTTTGCTTTTACT